GGGGGGGGGGGGGGGGGGGGGGGGGGGGGGGGGGGGGGGGGGGCAGGAGGAGGAGCAGGAGGAGCACCAGCAGCACGTGCGGTTCGAGCACAGGGCGGATCGAGTGAGGAAGCTCCCGCCGTCTTCGGACATGCGGCACGTCGGCGAGAGAAGGTTGGAAGGGAGCGGGCTCATCGAAGACACCGGGGTTCTCCTCGGCGGAGCGATTGCGGTAGGAGGAGTCCTGGCGGCCATGTTTGCGGCCGCTGCCAAGGTTGTCAACAGTCACTGATGACCACGCTGTCCATGGTAGCAACGACGGGCGTAATGTCATTCGAGGTGTGGAGCGCTTGATGGACGACGGGCGTTTTTTGTTCCGAGCGCGGCTGTCAATTGTGTTTGATGGTGTTGGGACTGAAAAGATTTGAAGGGCGGGTCAACCGGAATATAGGCGTGGTCGATGTTGCTGTTGTGGCGGTGCATTGTCTAGTGTGTTTGTTCGAAGCATCGACCACGATCGGTGTGTGTGTCCCTCGTAGTTTGATCCGACACTTACCTGTTGTGTTTGTCCCCGCTCTCGTGGATTGTCGATATGTACACAAAATATTTTTGAGGGACAACCGCCCTCGGGGCGGTGTTGTTTCATTTTTTTGCTTCGTGTGTTGCAGCTTGAAGGACGGAGGAGACCGAACTAGAGCCTGCCCGTTTGTGTGTTTTTAGCGTGTCGGGTTATTGTGGAGAGGAGCTCAGCAAAGTCCATAGGTCATTGAAGTCCTCCTTTTGTGGCGTATTCTCAGGGGTTGTTATCCACGTTATGTACGTAGCGTTTGTTACTGAGCCCTTAATCCGATGCAGGACTGATCCCCAGGAGAAATACGATGCCCCCCCTACCCTGCGTGTTCGGCAGTCGCTGTTGTGGTTTGGCTTTTTTGCCAGAGAGTTTTGGTACGAAGTGTCTTCCCCGTCTTCATGCCACAGTCATAATCCTGTCGCGATATGTACTGTAGGTGCAAGCAGCGAGGTTTCCTTGGCGTGATGGTTTCGATGAATTGGTTGGGATAGGAAGGTCGTTCGGTGCTTTTGATGGTGTGGAGGTGTTGCGGGGTAATGTCGAACACGGACGAGGCGGACAAGCTCCACCCCCCTGCTTCTTCCATCCCCGCCGCTCTTCTTCCAGCACGTGAGCGGTTTTCAATGTTGCTTTTTGTCCCCTTGGAATATTACACCACCTTTACTCGAGTTGGACAAAATAGGACAGCCAGCGTTAGTGCGTATCACGCTCACACTTCGAAGATACGGATCGATCTCTAGGGGGCCTAACACGAAGGCCTCCGGTAATTTCCCGTCAATTGATGGTACTTTTGTTGCGTACCTGGCGAGTTGTGGCACCTAACCTGCGGTGTTGACTGCTGTCTGGCACTCGCGGCGGAAACACCGGCTCGCGGAACGATCCCGTTGGGGTGGCCGTTTAGAAGCCGAAATCAAATCGGAAACGTTGACTAGTCTAATCGTTTTTTTACGCTCCTAGCGAACCTATCTATGCAGAAGAACCGCTACTAATGTACGTGGATTCGTAAGCTTCCAGAACCGTGGAGCAGGAAAATAAACACGGGAAAAAGAGGGAAAAAGGTATGCATAGGATACTAGTCCAAGGGCTGCCTGCTGGTGGGAAGGTGGATATGTGTGTAGCTCAGCTTGTGGGTTCCAAGCACTCAGATATTGTCCGTTGCCCTTCACGAATCCTGATCGTCTTGCGTTTTCGGGATGCCTACATGTAGTAGTTGCCGGTGGTCTAGTGGGTAGCCTCGCAGCCTGCTAAGGGCCAGGTCATGGGTTCGAGTCCCGACAGAGTGAGTTTCGCTAATTAAATCCTGGTCTCCGTTGGAAGCGACGCGCTGCAAAGCTCGTTGTTAGTAAACTTGATCGACTTCATAAGTCGTGAGGGAAGGGATTGCTGTAGCCTTCTCGCGATAAAAATATCTCAGGCAGGAACCGCAGGAGGGGGTCCAACCCCCCCCTCCTATATGACCCCGGTTGGGTCGTCTAGCTGGTAGAAGTGGAGGATAGGGGCCAGAGGGGCAGACGACAGAGTCTAATGATGGGAGAAAAAAAACAAAATGTAGTCTTATGTTCGTAGCGCTCTATGTAAACAAGACCCAGAAAACACGTTCACAAAATGATGGTGTCCCGCTTCGTTGTTCTCCGTGATCGTGTTGAAACAGGGCGAAGCGTGTGCCATCTTCGACAAAGAGTGTTGCACAGCCACCAGCAGCGGCCCAGCTTGCGGTCTGGATGTTGTACCTCGTAGGCTGCCTGCAGCACCCACCGTTGAAAGTCGCGCTGGCTCTATCTGCTGCGTTCATCATATATATGCCGAACGGGGACTGCATCTAGGTAAACGGCGGTCTCTCCGGACGTTGACGTTGTTAAATGTGGATGGCCTACAGCTACTGCTGTTGTGCCGCAGGCTGGCGTCGTTGCCCTCCTGCTGCCCCTTTGCGCCAGCGAATATCATGAATGTCGCCATTCTGTAGAAACAAGAAGAGAAACACCTGAACGAAGTGTTGTCCCGCCTGGCGTCGTTGCCCTCCTGCTGCCCCTTTGCGCCAGCAAATATGCACATCATGAATGTCGCCATTCTGTAGAAACAAGAGAAAACCTGAACGAAGTGTTGTTCCGCTTGATGCAGCAGGTCTCCAACGCCGTGTTGAAGCAGGGTCAAGCGCGTGCGATCTCGATAAAGAGCGTTTACAACCAACAACGGCGGCCCAGCGAGATGGTCAGGATGCTGCACCTTGTTGCGGAGTCTACTAATAGGGAAAATATATAGTCTACACACTCACAGACTATCCACTCGATTTTCATTTCAAGCTGGGCCAGACGAAAAGCTCACTTTTGTTCTGTCCAGTCTCATTTCTGTCGTTTCCACGAATGAATGAATATGGGATTGATTGAAATTTTGTGGCTGCTCTCATATGACATTATTAGGGGAAGCGGAGGTGCCAGAACTTTTCGAATCTGAGTTGATTAGGGGAAGCGGAGGTGCCAGAACTTTTCGAATCTGAGTTGATCAGGGGAAGCGGAGGTGCCAGAACTTTTCGAATCTGAGTTGATCTAGGTACAAAAACACGATCAGTTGGTTGGCGGCGGCGTAGGGGAGGATACGTCCGGTACTGAAATCATCATTAAAAAAGTTACAGAAAAATAGGCTGAAACTTGGTGCACCTACTTCTTAACTTGGAGCATTGCGAGGCTAATATCATCTTCTACCAAGAAGAGTGATGGCCTCGTAAATAATCCGTTACATTCACCACACACACAAACAAGCAAGATAGCCAGGGTTGGTTATCGCAATTAAAATTACATGACGTTTTTAACGAGTTTGAATCTGAATTTTTGACCTTGTCTTCTTGCATTTTTTAGTGTTGGATATCGATCCACTATTATTATTCGATTCGATCGATATCGATAATGAGAGCGAAGCGACCCGTTAGAGGCGAGCGCAGTGAGTCGGCGAGCACAGCGAGCTGACGCGCGAATGCGTGTCAGCTCGCTGTGCGAGCCCCAACAGCCCTTCCCGGCTGGTGAGGGGGTCCCGCTGGAGGCGCCGCCGGAGGCGAAAAAATCGGAGCGATTTCGCTTCATTTCCCATCATCACATTTTTTTCTAAAAACAGGCCTCCGAAGCCGGCAGTGTACAGCCACCTATTTGAATAAAAAAAGCGTGTGGGTGCACTAGCAAGGGTGACCATGAAGTAGGAAAATGGAGTACAAGTGTTTCATGGTGGCGTCATTTTGCCGATCTATCTCACACCACAAATCCCACCTGCCCCAAGAAGGTAGACAAGCTCAACAATCATAGGGCGGCAGCCGCGCTGACGGCCAGCATCATAAAGATGGCCAATCCGAAAGAATTAGCGTGTCGGAGGCCCTGTTGCTCTTCTGCTGCGTGGTGCCGTGGATTGATGTTGACGTGTCCGACCAAAAACAGATCATCATCTGGCCGGCCGCATTTTTTCCAACGGCATTTTGGTGAGTGAGGTGGCACACGTCTCTCACACACCTTATTGATTGAGCAGCACCCAAGCATTNACCTATTTGAATAAAAAAAGCGTGTGGGTGCACTAGCAAGGGTGACCATGAAGTAGGAAAATGGAGTACAAGTGTTTCATGGTGGCGTCATTTTGCCGATCTATCTCACACCACAAATCCCACCTGCCCCAAGAAGGTAGACAAGCTCAACAATCATAGGGCGGCAGCCGCGCTGACGGCCAGCATCATAAAGATGGCCAATCCGAAAGAATTAGCGTGTCGGAGGCCCTGTTGCTCTTCTGCTGCGTGGTGCCGTGGATTGATGTTGACGTGTCCGACCAAAAACAGATCATCATCTGGCCGGCCGCATTTTTTCCAACGGCATTTTGGTGAGTGAGGTGGCACACGTCTCTCACACACCTTATTGATTGAGCAGCACCCAAGCATTCAATACCCACGAAGCAGCACGGCGCCGGGAGATGGTACCATATAGACAGCCGACCCGAAGGAATCAGCGCGTTGGAGGCCTTGGTGCTGCTGCTGTACTCGTTCTTCTACTGTTTCCGTGTTTGCCATGTGTGATTGAAAAAATTCCCCAGAACCAACCAACAGCGGCAGGCGAAGACGAGAGCACCACGCAATGTATGGTTCTGGACCAAGAACGGACTGAACGCCGCTTCTGCCGCTTGTCCATCTCCATAATATTAGACCTGGACGTGAGTCTGGCAGGTCTTTCTAGCGTTCTCAGTTATGCTGCAGCGCCCGCGGTGCGCTTGTCCAATGCTCCTGTCAAAAACATGGATCCGTGAAAGTAGCAAGCCCCACAAAATCCCGGCTCCTTTTTTTCACAACGTCTCCTCCATATATATATTATGTTCAAGAAAACACACACGCTTCCGTGGAATGTTCCGTGCGTTTTTTGTGGTCGTTAATAATACCCCTCCGTATAAAAGCCCGACGTAAAAGGACGATCCTTTCT